TGACTGATATACATGGAAATAAATGCACAGATGAAATAATACACAGTCAAAATAATGAAATATCCTGATTTTGTGGTTACCTCCTGATACTGGGATTCCCACCCCCTCAACCTGAACTGGATTCTAAACCCTTTCTATTTTCCCAAGAGGTCACGATCACAGTAATTTATCAGCAAACGTAACTGTAAGTAAGTACTTCCCTTATTTAAAAAAATTAAGAGGAGGTATGTATTTTTTTTCCAAAGAGGTCGCGACAGCAGCTGACATCAGACACACACAGATGTGGCACGTGCTACCCAGAGGCCCCTGCCGCGGGACAGGGGCACAGAACGGCCGCCTTGACTGGCTGGAGTCAGACGCCGGGCTTGAGGTCACTGCCGCCCAAACGGACACATACGAAACCCCTCCGCGCGGACCAGCGCGAGGCGCAGCCGCGCTCCCGAGATCGCCGTCGCTGCGCTGAGTCTCCCGTGCGCCTGCGCTGCCCGGCAGAGCACTTCCTCTAAACTGGGGGGCTGAGTTCTGCTTCTGTCACTCACACGCTAAGCCGAGCTGCCTGCTTTGCACACATCCTTTCGCTGAGCTGACGGCCACCGTGAGGGGGGGGGGCCATCACGCCTACTTCTTAAGATCTCCAGTCACTGTCTCCCTATGAACTGGGAGGTTCAGGCTGAAAGATTTTCTAGGTCCCAATCACCTTTCATTTTCTGTGACTCTGTGAATTCAGATCTTAGCTCACAGTGTGCTCCTTAACCTTTGTCTTTCCACTGCCTGGATACACTTCTGATTTCTCGTCCTGCTAGAGATCTGCAGCCCTGTTCCTGCTTCTCTCGGCCCTGCTGGACACTCCTCAGCTCCGCCCAAGACAGAAAACGTGAGAAGCCAATCCATGGGGCTGGGAGAAGAGGAACGGATGCTGGTTTCACTAGAGCAGAGTTTCCTACGGTGCGGCCCTGAGTCCACTGCAGGCTACAGGAGTCTTCCCAGATGGGTTATAAATGTATCCCAGGATGTACGTCTTTTCTTTGGAGACAGAAGACCCAAACCTGTAGATGTTCATTTTGATGCACAACTAAGGACTATTTACTAATAAAGTTAAAAAACATGGGTAACTGAAACTTGGTTTTCATCGACTGAAATTAGGGTGTTATTAGGGTTTGCTAAAGACTTTAATTTTATATTCTATTAAGAACTGTGGCCACCACCCAGTGCCTTGGAAACACTGCAAAGCTTCTACTGAGAACATACAAGCGTGAGGTGAAGGGATTCCCACGGCTTTCGGGGAGGTGCTGCCTTACACTCACCACACCCGGGCCATCTCAGCGGGTCTCGGTCCTAGACTGTTGCTTGTACTGTTGCATGAATTAACGCAGCTGAGAAATGATGCTGGGATTTGCTTTTGTTGATTGTGATGTTGGCCGAATGAGGCATTTTCAGCGACTTTACCGTCACCTTGTTCACTCCAGGTTCAGCCATCTCGGGGTTCTTCTGCTCCAGGAAGCCAGACCGGAGGGGATGGGCGGAGGCAATAACGAGCCGAGACCCAGGAAGCCAGGGAGCCAGCCTGCCGTCTCTTGTGCTTCATCACAAGGTTGCTACCCGCTGGCAGGAGCCCCTCTGTGCTGGCCAGGATGCTCAGGCAGCCACCATACTCCAGTCAAGTGGACTGACTGCATTGCTTTAAATTAACGTCAGACCTGTCCCTGGAAAAGCAGGGCACCCCGGGATTATCCAGGCCCCCACCGCAAGCGCTCCCTGTGCCAGGCTTGGGCTTAAAAGAACAGAGCTGTGAAGCTCTTATTTTCTGAAACACTCAAGCATAAATCTTGCTGATGACGGTTTGGCCCAATGCCTTGGGCAGTGATGTAATCCATGCATTCAAAAAGCCATAACCCTTTTCCTGCAAAAGTATTTCCTAACTCACTCAGCTCAAGGGTCCCTTCATCCAAACATCTCTCCTGATTTGAACAAGCAACTGTGGCATTTGCCATTTTATGTTGAAATTTTATTTATTTACCTTTTTTTTGTTACATTGTCTGTAGAGCGTCTGCTGAGGACAGAGACCATGCCTCACTCCCTTTCATATGCTCCGCGCAGAGCCCAGTGCTGGGATGGGGCCGATAAATAATTGTTGGACTAATTTCAACTTGGAAAAGGACGTGACAGACAGAAGAGTCCAGCCTCTGCCTCCCCAGTCCTTGTATGGTGCTGCTCAAGTGATGACTTACAGAGAGAATCCAGTGTAGACCCCCAGACCCCAAGTTAGGACATGAGAAAGGGGGAGACGTTGAAGATAAGGATTGCAATAACCCACCTCAGCTGAATGCTTTCCACCTACCCAGCCCTGGGAGAGGGACTTTCCGTCCAGCACTCCAGTCAGCCCTCCCTGCTGCTCCGCAAGTAGGCATCTGCAGACCCACTAGAAAGGAAGCAGAGAGTGGAAGTTTGGTTATCAAGCTTGCACAGCGTGGAACTAGCAGAGCTGGGACTTCAGATTCAGACCAGTCTGTCTCCAAAAAGAACATAATCACTGGAGTGGAAGACAAGGAGAGACACGGACGGCAGGCGGGGCGCGCAGTGCGGCGGGAGCTCAGCAGGCAGTCGAGGGGCACGCAGTCCTTGGAAATGGCGGGGACGGAAGAACGCAGGGGTGGGGACCAGGGCATGTGCTTGGTGCGATACTGGTCCCCCAAAGATGTCCACAACCCAGTCCCTGGAACCTGGGACTGTGTCACCTCATGCAGAACAAGGGACTTCGCAGGCATGTTACATTAAGGATCCTGAGATGGAAGATTATCCTCGACCATCTGGGTGACTCAGTACCATCGCTAGGGACCTGTGAGAAGGAGGCAGGAGGGTCAGCGTCAGAGGAGGAGTGTGGTGACAGGAGCAGCGGTGCAGAGAGCCTCAGCGGCCTCCAGAAGCGGGAAAAGGCGAGGAAATGAGTTCTTCCCTGGGGCCCCCAGGGAGAACATAGCTTTTCCAGCACCTGGACTTTAGCTCACTTAGACTGCTTTTGGACTTCTGACTTCAGGGCAGTAAGACAATAAATTTCTGTCCTGTAAGGTGCCGAGTTTGTGGCAGTTCATGACAGCGGGGAAAGGAAGCTAGTACTGGGCAGGATGTCGCAGACAGAGGCCTGAGGTGGGGAAGAGGCTTCTGAGGTCAGGGCGGTTGGGTGCGGATGGAGTGGGGTGTTCGGCTGCGGCCGTGTTTTCCAGGCGAGCCCGGGGCTCCTGGGGTGCTTGTGAAATGCAGACCCCTGGGCCCCACCTTAGAACTTCCCAATGGGACTTCCTGTGCAGTGGCCCCCACGACCTTGTGTGGCTGCTGTGACAGCCAAGGGACATCAAGCTACAGCCTGCCCGGAGAGAGAACTCACCGAGGGCACCTGGACTGAGAAGACACTGGCACTGGCCTCCGGGGAGAGGAGGGAAAGCCAGAGCAGAACGGGGATGAAGAGGCTGCTCACCGCCCCCCACCAGCTGTGCTCATGGACGTTACTTTCCCCTTCGTGACATCGTTATCAAGCGGTCGTCACGTTCCAGCGGACTGTTAGTTGTTGAGGACCCACAATGGTGAATGGAACAGGCCTGCTCCTGCTCCCCTAGAAGCTACATTCCGGAGGGAAAAACAGGGCAGACATGGATCAGACAGACAGGCGAGCACATGTCATGAATGACAAATGCTAGACTGGAGAAGTCTGAGGAGCTGTGCTCTTGTGACTGGAGAAGCCGGCCTGTCTGGGGATCAGGAAATGCTGCCTGAAGGATTGTGGGTAAGAGTCAAGGACAGGACGAGAAGGAGGTGTATGTGGGGGAGGGTGTAGCATAGCAGGAACAGCATATGCGAGAGCCCTGAGGCAGCGGGGAACCAGGGAGCAGGAGATCAGAGCGGGAAGGCAAAAGTGGCTGAGGTGAGGCTGTACGGAGGACCACGCTCAGAATGATCACCTTCCCCAAAGCAAGGCGTCTTGTCACCAGGTTTGCATTCGGCAGTGAGCATATGGTGGCCAGGCGGAGGATAGGTGAACCCAGGGGCAGGGAGACACGGATTAGGCGGCAGTGGGAGTAAATGACACAGAGCCTGAGAGCCAGTGGCTGCCCAGAGATGCAGAGCTCCCCCCTCTAATTCCACAAGACTGCCACGCAGGTTCATCTTTTAAAGGAAGTCAGACTTTTAACTCAACGTACACTTCAGCCTGAGAATTAATGAATGAACAGGGTCTTACATTTTCTCCAAACCTCAGGCAGATCTGCGTGTCCAGGTAGCGTCCACTGTGAGGAACGGGAAGTCCTTGTGTCTGCAGGTGCTTCAGTTGCATCTGAACAATCCCACCGGACAAGGAAGAAACCAGAGAGTTTTCCTCCTGGTTACGGCTCTGAGGGCAGCTGGAGCCCAGGTTTTGATCCTCGAGAAGGCAGAGCAGGACCATCCTCACCCGAAGACAGTTACCATCCTGAGAACAAAGGACAGAAATCAAAGTAACAGTCAGTCAATGTCACTTCAAACCCATCAACAGAATCTGGTTTTCCACCACGTGACAAGGATTCCTAAGAGAAGAGACAGAATTTACAAAAGGTAAAGAAGGAAAGATATTGAGGCCATCTGCCAGATTTCTTATGAGCAAATATACCAGAAAACATTGATTACTATAGAAGTTCCCCGAAGTCAGGAGACCTGCTATTAATTTTCACATCTCCTTTACCATAATCCTCTATAGCTTTACAGTAAATCCTCTTTATTTTCGGATTTGAGTATGAAGAGAAAGTGAATTCGATTGATCTGAATTGCTCTCTGCTCTGTCCGGGCACCTCCTGGCTCTGTGACCTGGGGCAGGTGACTCCAATTCTCTGGCCTTTATTTTCTCTTTTCAGTTGGGAAGAGGGAGGGTGCTCGTCCTAACGCTGGGCTGTGAGATGAGGTGCGATTCTCTGGCGAAGCCTCACAAGCGGGCACGTGGTAAGCAGGCGCTCAGCCTAGTGACTTTCACTGCTCCAGGTTAGCTGTTTTTAACCGCGACTCATCTCAAGCCCAGATCCACCCCCTTGCTGGGTGTACCTTCCCCCCTCTTTGCTTGGCCTTTGTGTGCTCTCGCTGGGCGTTATGCTCTCCTCCCTCAGCTCTAACCCCAAGCTCCTCTATCTGGCTTTGTGACGATGGGGCCAGACACTGCGAGGCTGGTTGGGGGTGGCGAGCACCTTCCCGCCTGCTGCTTGTTCCCACTGCCAAGCACTTCACGGCGACACTGTCGGTTTGTTCCCCCAGCAGTAATCAAACCCAGCTTGTAGCTCTCCCAGCACCTGCAAGAGGAGCCTTACTGCGCCCCTCTTGGGAGACCCAGCACCTCCTCCTCAGACAACCAAATTCCTGCTCGGCAGGCTGAGCCGAAGCCCCTTCCCTGGGCTTCTGAGTTTCATAATGTCAGCGTTGCCCTTACCTCCTCCAGTCCTGGGGGGCGTTTGGGGGGAGCTGTCTCCTGCAATTGCTACTTCTGTGAGACCTCACTGGTTCCTTTTGGCCTATTCAGTTACAGAGAGAACAGTTTTCTATCTAGCTACTAATTCTTTGTCTTACATTCTCTCCTTCTAAGTAAATTAGGGTGGTCGGAAGGTCTCTCCTTGACTAGACCTTATGAGAAACTCTCTGTGGTGTCTTCTTACTTGGAATA